CCTACTACTGCAAATCCTTATGGTAGTAAACTGCCTGACTTCCTCAGAGCAGCTGATAGATTCAAACCACCAGCCTTTAGCAGTTCAACACATACTATGATACCAGGCCTCCTTACCCCTTAGAAAGCGACCCCTGAGGACAGTTAAGTGTTGGTAAGGTTATGGGGAAACTGCAACTGTTATCTAATGCTGGCGAGAATCTAAAATGGTGGTGTTGCTTTAGAAAACTATTAAGACAGTTGCTCAAAAAGTTTATCCCTTTTGTGACCCCTGGACCATACTATTCCCACCAGTATTTTCAGTGTCATACATTTCTTGGGAAGCTATTATCTCAGTTGCAGAACATGCTACTACATGGCAGAGACCTGTATAAGTGTATAAATTGTAAGAAACAGACCCTCAAGTTACTGTTCCTACCATCAGAGTCCACTTAGGCAAATATGTCCCATATATTAGTATCAAAATTTATGTTACCTCGGAACTAATTTTCCATTGACTTTAGCATACTTTCACCTTTTAAAAATATAGCCAAAATTTACTTCCAGTTTTTTTACAGTAGTCAAAACCAACCAAAATAGTTGTAATCATATGAATGGACAAGCAAAATGTGGCATATATACAATAGAAATATTGTAAAGTTGTTATGTGCTGTTAAGTCACCTGTGACTCATAGCAACCTGTACAATAGCTCTGAAGCCTGACCTGTCTTGAGCCAATCTCACTGACTCCAACATACTCCTAGTCACTGTATCAATCCATCTCACCTGGAGTCTTCTCTCCTACACTGTCCCTCCACACTTCCAAGCAAGGATTGGTCACTCCTGGCCACATGCCCAAAGTATGTAAGATGGACCTTCAAAATCCTAGCCTCCAAGGAGAAACTTGGTTTTACTCTAAGACAGACCTATTTGTTTTCCTGCCAGTTCATAGTATGTTCAAGACTCTTCTCCAGCACCACAACTCAAAGGCATCAATAATTATTCTATCATCCTTTGTCATTATCCAGCTCTCTGACACATAGCAAGTAATTGTGAAGACCATGGACTGCATTAAGCATACCTTAGGCTCTGGACTGACGTTGTTGCTTCTCAGTACTCTGGAAAGGACCCTGACAGTAGATTTACCTAATGCAATTAATGTTTTGATTTCCTGACTGCTGGTGCCAAAAGTATTGATTGATTGTGGAGCCAAGAAAGCTGTAACTCTTAACCTCAATCTCCTGTCCATCCATCATGGTGCTGCCAATTGGCCCATTTGTGAAAATCTTTGTCTTCTTGATGTTGAGCTTCATTCCATTCCATATTGCAGACTACAGTCCTTGACCTTCTGGAGCAAGTGCTTCAGGTCCTTCTCAGTTTTAGCAAGCAGAGTTGTGTCATCTGCATAATGTAGTAGAAGTGAAATTTCATCTGAAAAGAGAAGTAAATTTCTTTTTTTTTTAAATTTATTTTTCATTTCAATGAACATCTGCAGAGATTTTGGAATTCCATTCATTCATT